CCTTTGAAGACTCCAAGCTGCTGTCCAAGCTCCTTTGAAGACTCCAAGCTTCTGTCCAAGACGTTCCCGAGCAAGAAGACCGCTGTACAAGCCGTTCCGGATGTCGCCGCTGCTGTCCAAGATGCTCCGGATGGAGAATTTGCTGTCCAAAATGCTCCGGACAGCAGTTTTTGCTGCCGACACCTCGCCGATGTTGGTATTTATGCTTAATAGAAGAGGAAGATCCTTGAGTTTGCTATCAAGATGTCCCCAAGTGCTGTCTTTGCTGTTTGGAGTTCACCGGAGAGGAGATTTTGGTGTCTAGAGTGCTCGAAACCACTGATTTTGTTATCTCAAGGTCACCAGAGTTGATTTGGAAGAAAGGTGAAGCCTTCCACCTCTTCATATAGGCAGTAGAAAAGAACTATAGCAGTTCTTTGTTCCAGATTTTAAGAGAGGGAGGAGAAAGACAACAACAAACTCTCAAATGACCTCAAATCTAGATGCAGGAAGATCTCTATACGCAGGAGGAAGTCCCGGGTGCTGCGATTTCCTTGCATGGTTCGACTACAAGTAGTTGGCTACCCCTCTTGGCTCAGACGCTCGCATGGAAGCTGCAAGGCTGCCTCCTCACTCGGCTGGAAGGACCACATGCGTCGGGGGGGGGGGGGGGGGGGGGATGATTCCGCTTCTCCCCCTTCTCCCTCTCTCGCCCTCTCTTTGCTTCGCATGGGACATATGAACACAAAAACGGGAGAGCCGCCCTTTCGCTCTCTTGGAGACCACGAGAGTGGCATGCCCACTGCCCAAATGCTCCAATTTGATTCCTCCTTGTGCAAAACAAGGGATTTGAGCAGGATTTTACTTGAAACTTGAGCCGTTCATTTCAATTTAGCCCAAATCAATCAATTTGGGTTGAAATTGAGCTCAAATTGGACTCAACTCAAACCGATTTGGGTCGGTTTGGGTCCGACCTTGTTAATTTTGCAAAATTAAACTTGAATCAGCATCGAATTGTTTCGAATTTGCGCTCGATGAGGATTGATTGGATTTGATTCGATTTTAATTTAATTTAATTGGGGTTTAATTTGGGCCGATTTTATTTATATGACGTTCGATCGAGGTTGGTTCATGCTCGATTGCAAAAATAAATGTCAGCAGTGATGCACAAGATTAAGTGAATTATAGAAGAAATAAGTTAATGTGTCATACTTCAAAATTGTGGGAGAGAGTTATGGAGCATAGGTTATGATGTGATACTAATGTTTCTCAAAATCAATTTGGATTCATGCCGGATAGGTCTACTATGGAAGCTATGCATTTATTGAGTGGTTTGATGGAGAAGTTTAGAGAGAATAAGGAGGATCTTCATATGATATGTTTTGATTTAGAGAAAACATATGATAAAGTTCCGAGAGAAGTGCTGTGGAGAGTTCTAGAAAAGAAATGGATTAATAATGCTTATATTTAAGTCATTAAGGATATGCATGTAGTAGTTGTTACTTGTGTTCAAACACAAAGTGGTTTGACCAAGTATTTTCCTATTTCTTTTGGATTACATCAATAAATCAACTTTAATCCCATATCTTTTTTCTTTAGTCATGGATGTTCTCACTAGACATTTTCAAGAGGTTGTACCCTAGTGTATGCTTTTTACTGATGATATTCTTCTTGTTGATAAGACTAGAGAGGGGGTTGAAGGTAAACTTAAATTATGGAGGTCAACCTTAGAGTTTTAAGGTTTTCGTTTGAGTAGATCTAAAACTGAATATATAGAGTGTAATTTTAGTAGTGGAATTGTGACTTTGGGTGAACAAGTCATTAATAAGATTGTACATTTTAGATATATTGGATTTATTGTTTAGAGTGATGGTAAAATAGATGGGGATATTATTAGTAGAATTCAAGTTGGATGGTTGAAGTGGAGGAATGCATCGTGCTTGTTGTGTGATAGAAAGTACCCCTCAAACTTAAGAGAAAATTTTATAAGATTATAGTGAGACCTGCAATGCTTTATGGTGTAGAATGTTGGCCATTAAAAGAGAGGCATAATATTAAGTTAAGTGCTGCAGAGATGAGGATGCTCAGGTAGATGAGTGGCTTTAGTCTTAGAGACATGATATGAAATGAGCATATACATGAAAAGGTTGGAGTAACTCCCGTGGAAGATAAGATTAGAGAGAGTCTCCTTAAATGGTTTGGTCACATAAAATGGCAGCCTTCCCATGATCCCGTTCGGAAATTAGATGAATTGGATTTGGCTTATGTTAGGAAAGAAAGGTAGACCTAAAAAGACTTGGTTAGAAAATATTAGAAATGATCTTTCTTTATTAGATTTAAATGAGAATTTGACTCTTAACAGGTTACAATGGAGAAAAATGATTCATGTAGCCGACCTCACATAGTGAAATAAAGGCTTGATGTTGTTGTTGTTGTGGATCAATTTAGTATCAAATCATAGTTAATTTATGTATGGTTTTCCAGCGGCAGATTTCAGCATTGTCCCTGTTTTTTTTTTTATTGTTTTCTGCATATTTCTGTCTTTATTCCCGAAGTCTCTTCTTTTCCCCTCAGATTTCCGAACAAATTCATGTCAATTCCCTCAATATCCTCCACAACGCCTTCCGAAATATCCACCAAAATTTTTCTGCTGCTCTCCACCGTATGTTTTACTATTTCTCTACCAAAATTTTAAAACTCATCCTCTAATAGAATTTTAAATTGAAATTCAAACTCTTTTTGAAAGACAAGTTCGAATTTAAAAAACTCAAGTAAAAAATTGTTACAATTTTTTTTCTTTCATACAACTTTTTCCACCACATTTTCCCAAAACCTTGACCTAGGTAGACTTATCATTAACTTATCTAAACCTGAACTAAACTCTTTCTAAACTCACAGTGAATGAAGAGAGCCTAAAATGGATCTTCCCAATTTAATGACCCAGTATCAAGTTGGACTCCAAACTGGGTTTTCTTGCTTCTCTTCCTGTTGTTTCATGAGGAATGCCGTTGTTGAATGAACTGGCTGGGGTCAACCATGGAGGTAGGTGTGTGCATTTGATCGGTTTGATCAGTTAGATTTTATGAATTAGCTAAATCATTTAGTTTCTACTAACATTCAGAAAAAAGAATCGTCCTTGCTATTTTTCAAACTGAAGTAAACTAAACCAAAATTTAATTTTTATTCAATTTGAACCAAACATTTGTAGAAGGATGTACCTTGGTGTATGTTTTTTTGCTAATGATATTCTTCTTGTTCATAAGAATAGAAGAGGGGGTTACAACAACAACAACAACATCATGCTTTTATCCAATGTGTTATTTTGAGTCAATTGTTCAAAGTGATTGTGAAATAGATGAGGATATTATTAGTAAAATTCAATTTGGATGGTTGAAGTTTAGGAATGCATTGGGTATGTTGTATGATAGAAAAATATCCTTCTAACTTAAGGGAAAATTTTATAAGTTGGTGGTGAAACTTGTAATGTTTTATGGCGCAAAATCTTGACAACTAAAAGAGAAAAAAAAAGTGTTGCACACATGAGGATGCTCATATAGATGAGTGCTTTTACACTTAGAGAGATAATAGGAAACGAGTATATACGTGAAAAGGTTGGAGCAGCCCTAATGGCAGATAAGATTAGAGAGTATTGCCTTAGATGGTTTCGTCATATAAAAAGGCGGCCTTCTCATGGCTTATATGTTAAGAAAGGTAGAGGTAGTCTTAAAAAGACTTGTTTAGAAGTGTTAAATTTTTTTATCAGACTTATATGAGAATTCAACTCTTAATAGGACACAATGATGAAAAAGGATTCATGTAGCCAACCAAACATAGTGATAAAGGCTTGTTATTGTTTAGTTTGATTTTATTCTAGATGAACCAAAATAAAATTAATTTAACAATGAACCTAATTGCCTTTTAGTTTAAACAACATATATTATAAACAACAGTAAGTAATTTTAACATAAATTTAAAGTTTTGATATATATAATGAATAATATTCAATGATCAGTTTGCCGCTTGCTTATTTACAACTAACTGCTTTAGTTGATTCAATATACGAAAAAGTTAGTATATTTTGATTTTGGTTTGGTTTTATAAAAACCAAAACACAATCAATAACTAAAAATCAAAGAAAGTTAAAATTACCATCAGTAACTCAATGAGTAAAAGTCCAAAATAGTCCCCGACTATTAGTAAATGTTCAATTTAGTCCCAAACTTTCATAATGTTTCAATTTAGTCCCCCAATTATTAGAAAATGTATCAATTTGATCCCAAGATCGAAATGAACAGTTAAAGTTAATCCCAACAGTTAAATGTGAGAGTATTTTGGGTATTGAAGTGTATGTGAGATTATATTATTATTTTTATATATTTTATTATTTATCATATTAAAATAAATATAAAAATTATAATGAAAGTTAACCGCATTTATTAATTATTCACTATTATTATTTATTATGGGATTAATTTTACATACACCATAATACATAAAATGTCTTCACATTTATTTTTGGGATTAATTTTAATTGTTACTTTTGACATTAAGATCAAATTCAGACATTTTCTAATAGTCGAGATACTAAATTGAGTCTTTATGTAAGTCTCGGATTAAATTGGACACTATTTTAAGCTTTTACTCATAACTCAATCAACATTTTAAAATCCGAATCAAACCAAACAAATAAGATGAAATAGGCTCAATTTTTTGTTTTATCTAAATGATGCACATCCCTAAGAGGTGGTTGAAGCAAGAACGTTGGGTTCATGATGATGATGAGATGAGCTATCAAATGGCCTGTGACATGTTCTGTTGACATCAAAATAGGATGACTAATTTCTGATAACATCTACGGCAACATTACCCGCTAACTGTGCCCATTTTCTGAAATATTCACTATACTTATGAATCCCCATGAAATGAATGACTTATATTTGTTCTCCAGTTTCCATGAGAAATATGATGTAACCTTTCCTTTAGTTGGTTTTCATTTTTCTCTATCTTGTGTTACTTCACAGATCAACGAAAGAGGAACTGGCATCACTTGCTGAAGCAGCTAAGGATCTGCTAAATTCTGCATCAGAATTCGGAAATAGTGATGTTTGCATCTTGGAAAATTCAGCCGAGGATACTAAAGAGGATAAATGTTTTGCAAAGGTTGAAAGAGAGAGAATTGTGATCTCAATCCTCGATGACAAGGGTGGACAGCAGCAGTTCCGGCTGTTCGTGGTATCTCATTTAACTTGATATCTGCATGCTCTTCTTTTTCTGGATTATTTTCTTGAAACCGTGAGGAAGATCAGATTTAGCTAAAACATAAAAATTGTCGTTTTTAACTGCTTGGATTTCCCATAGATGCTTCATAAATTTGATAGATGGAGCATATTATCTTTCCTTTTGTGTAGGATGACAAGTTTGAAAGGCTCTTTAAAACATATGCTGAAAAGGTGAAGGTGAAACCAGAAAGCCTCGTTTTCTCCTTTGATGGAGAACGTGTGAGTCCTACAGCAACTCCTGCAGGACTTGGTTTGGAGAAAGATGATATCATCGAAGTTAACGTCTTATCATCATTTGACCAGTGTGAATGCGTAGATAGATAGATTTTAACTTTTTATTTTTTGCAAGGTTTAGTGAGGAGTTGAAGATAATCTCTGCTTAATAGGGACTTGGCATGTTTTATAAATTATCTTTTTATTGCTTTTTTTTTTTTTTAAATTTCTGTATGAACAGCTAATTCTGAAGCAGTCATTTGAAACTCTTCCAGTTTTATTTAATGGAAAGAATGAAATTTCAGATGCATAACAAAGAGAATTTAATAAGTTTCTGGTTCTCAGATTCAACTTATTTCAATCACCGTAACCTTTTTATACTTTTTCATTGCGCTTTTAAACTTTTTTTAAATTACTATCGCATGGCAGGTGCTATGCTACTTTTTGACCTGTTACTGTAACCTGTATAAAATATTGTAAGAGAATAAAAGAGAAATCTAAAGTAGATGACATGAGAAATCATCATTTTAAATGTGGCATTCTCCGAATCATCTCTTTTAAAAAATATTGGTGAATTATATAAATTTTAGTACTAAATGTATGATATGCTCCATATCAGTAATGATTAAACAAAGCCTCAACTGCCTTTCTGTAGCACATGAGGTTGAACCTCGATCAAAATTTTAGTTGAAGAAGAGAGAGAAACTCCCGATTTCTAGAGAGAGAAAGCGGTCTTCTTGTTTTTTTTTTAATTTGGTCTTTTCGTGGGTTTCCCGCGATCGGTGGTGGCGGCAGTGGATGATCGCTGGCGTTCGTCCTCATGAACGCCCCGCGACCTATGGGACCTGTTCGTCCAAGCGGTAGAGGTTCAAATGGAATTGTGATCAGAGAAGGTCAGGTAAACCATTGCCGGATAGCCCTTGTTGAAGGTAAGGGAAAGAGCGTGTTGATTGAGAATTTGGATGGGAAGGAAATTCTTGGTGGAAAAATAAATCCAGGAGTTGCAATTCATGAATCGTCGGCATCGGATGATTTGATTCTTCGTGTGAACAATTTTCAGGGGTTCTTGATACGCTTAAGGGGCGTAATATTGGTGATGATCTGTCATCGGCGGGAGTTTTGAAGGAGGATGAAACGGTGGAGGAAGGACCAGTGGACATGGAATTGCGAAAGAACAAGAGTAATGAGGTAGTTGAAGCCTGGTCGAAACCAAAGCCAATCAAGCTATCGTTTAATAAGGACCTTCTTGAATTTTCAGAAGATGGAATTGCTGTGAAGCTAAATGCTGATATGGAGGCAAGGAATTCACAGATTTTGAAGAATTCTGTGGTGATTAAAGTGCTGGGTAACAATGTGCCTTTTTCGGTTTGTAGCACCGAATTGAGAAAGCAATGGAGCAGGTTTGGAGGATTCCACTTAACATCGATTGGTATGGATTGGATCCTGTGCTCATTCCATACGAGTGAAGTGGTTGATGAAGTTTTGAATGGAGGACCCTGGTACGTAAACAGATTCATTGTTGGAATGGATAGGTGGTCGGCTGCATTCGACCCAAACACATTTAAAGGAGTTTCGGCACCAGTATGGGTTAGATTTCCATGTCTACCGTTGTATTGCTGGGATGAGGACAATATTGCAAGAATTGCATCTTGCTTGGGAACGCCAATGTACATTGATGGCAACACATTCCCTTGGGGTAAACGGGAATTTGCTCGAGTATGTGTAAGGATTGATCTGGAGAAAAAGCTGCTGAATGGTGTGTGGGTGGGTGGCTCTGTTGGGAGGTTCTTTCAACGGGTTGAATACGAGAAAATTGATTTGCTCTGCTATCAGTGTGGTAGAGTTGGCCACAACAGAGAGATATGTCCAGAAAATGTATCTATTAGAATACAAAATCAGTCTTTGAAGGTGAAGGAGGTTGGTAAGGAAAATGGTGAGAAGAATTTGCAGGAAAATAAACCTTCAGTGATTAGCTTCGAATATGGACCTTGGATCCATGTTCACTTCAAAGACAGGAGAAACAACAGAGGGAACGTTGCTAGGAAGGGAGTGAATGCTGATAGACTCGGCAATTCTATCAGGGAAGACAACAATCAGAAGAATAATATACAGTTTGATAGAAAAATAATGGTAAATAAGAAGGATAATGTTGAGGGAAACAATGACCTGGCTCCAGAAAGTAGGGATGAACATGAAGAATCTGTTGGAAAGGAGAATTCAGAGACTGTTGTTACCAACAAGTTCGCTGTACTGAGTGAGAACACTGAAGAAATTTGTTTGGTTGAGCAGGTTAAAGACATAAAAACTACATAAAAAGACCGGGAATGTATTGATACTGATATCAATCACAGTGGTTTGGGTGTCTTCAGTGCTGCTGTCAAGGTGAAGTTGGCTAAGGAGTTAAAATCACTTGGACCCGTGGATGTGAACCATAAGAAGAAAAAGAGGTATGATAGGTTGAACCCCAAGAGTGGGGAGAGATCAATTAAACCTTTTTAATGTCTTCAATTCTTTTTTGGAATTGTAGGGGGGCAAGGAAAAAAGAAGCCTCCCTATATTTGAAGGAAATTGTTAGAGATCACAGTATTTATTTTATTGGGCTTATGGAGACTAAGTTGGCTAGCATTGATAGAAAATATGTTGATTACTTGATTGGGAAGGAGTGGGAGTACTTTCATTACCCTGCTGAAGGTACATCAGGAGGCATCATGGTTTTATGAAATAGGAATATGGTGCCTTTTGATATAAGGGAGACATCATCACAAGTAATTGTTGGTAGTCTCTCAAATCCTAACTTGGGAAATTGGAGAATTGCCACTGTTTATGGGAGCAGAAACTGTAAGGAAAGGGAAAGTTTGTGGAAGCAGCTTCAGGATTGTATGGTGGATGCAATTCCCTAAGGGCTCCAAGATGAAAATCTTCAAGGTGTTAGGTTCAATGGCATAGGCTATAAATATTTGAAGGTTTTACAGCCTTTGGATTTTAATTCAGATTCTAGGGTTAGAGACCTCTGAATGGGCTCAAAATTGGAGGGTAACCTCTAGAGACATTTCTTATCACTTTGTAAGTGATAGACCCTAAATCATATGCCATTTGACTGGGTTTTGAAATGTTTGGAAAGTCTTTGAAAAAGGTCTTTAGGACAGGGCCTTAAGATTTTGGATTTGAGTCTGGATTTCTGGATTTGGAATGGATTTCAAGTTTGAATGATCAATATTGAAGTATCCAAATCATTTACAATCATGTTGTGATTGTTAATAGATGGATAAGGTCAAGGCTAGATTAAAGGTGGGATCAAAGTCTAGGTTGAAATTTGGATTCTCAAGAGGATTGGATCAAAGTTTGGATATGTTTGAAGCTTGAATTAATTTGGATTTGAATTGAATGAAGTTTGAGATTTGAATTAATCAAGAGTAGGGATTGATTTGAGGTTGGAGTTGATCAAAGGTAGGGATTAATTTAAATCTAGATTGACCCTAAGATCTAGTGGGGTTCTAAGATCTAGGATCTAGAGGGGCTCTAGAATTTGGAATATAAGAGGATCCTAAGCTCTAGAGTAGGCCCTAAGGTCTTGGATCTAGAAAATAATCTTAAGCTCTAGAGTAGGCCCTAAGGTCTGGCTCTAGGAAAGGATCTTAAGCTTTAGAATAGGCCCTAAGGTTTAGCTTTAGGAAAGGATCTTAAAGTCTAGAGTGGATCCTAGGATCTAGGATTGATATGGAATTTGGAAGGGCCTCAGTGACTTCATACAAAAATGAGGTCAACAGTTGCTTGCATTGCGGTGGCCCCTCTTGTCACCACTACTCTACCCCAAGCTAAGGTCTTAAGGGATGCTGTTGTTCGAGCTCTCTCTCAGAGGATTCAGAGCATCATCTTCCTAGCACGTGGTAGAGGGCTTATTAGTTGGGAGAGGTTACTTAAGTAGATTTCTCAGGCTACTCTTCAATTATAGAGATAGACTGCGAGATAGAGGTACAAGTGGCAGAGATGACATCTTCCTCAATAGTTAGTTGATACAGCTCCAGTTGTTAGATCGCTAGTAGTTACTTTTACTGTTGGATGATGCCCACGTCACCATGGATAGAGACAGTAGTAGGATCATGTACAGCCTCAGATAAGTTCAGTTGTGGTAGCCCCTCAGCAGATGATTACTCATATAGAGCCCTACTACAGTAGGTGGGTTTGGAGATATCAACAGGAAGACACCCGTGTCGAGCCAATACAGTCAGTGGAGACAGTATGACAAATGGAGGCAGTACAGTCAGTTGAGGAAGTATAGTTGGAAGAGGCAGTTCAACCAACATATACAGTAAATCAGATGGATGTAATAGTTCCTTTCAGGTTTGAGGCAATACTGATAACTTGTGATGTGGATATAAAAGGTTCTCCCGATTGATCACCTGACCGAGTTGAGATAGCTTTAGCTCCCCTATGAGTCCCTATATAGAGGCACTCCACCTAGCCTTCTCCGAGGATGATGCACCAGGAGATGAGTCATATAAGCATGTACCAGTACACCGGGTCTATGTGATTACACGTTGAGGTCACTCAGACAAGTAGAGAGAGCCTGAGGACAAAGATGAGCAAGGAGACCCCAAGGTGGGAGGATCTCTAAGATCAATAGCTACAGATACCACAGTCTTAAACATACAAGCTCAGATGGCTGAGATGGCCAAGGCCATGGCATTGATGACTACCTAATTAACAGCTTTAGGGGCTACACCCCATATAATTGGCGTAGGTACCCCTACCAAGTCCAGGGATGAGCCAATAGTGCTGCCAGTAGCATTAGACCCTGCGAGAGTGGATAGGGTCCAGAGGGCAGTTCCTACAACACCTACAGTAGTTTAGAGTTAGCCAGTATAGTTGTCAGTTGGTCAGATTCCGGATTTGATAGCTCAGAAGATGGAGTAGACGATTTACTCCAAGAAGATTGGAGAGGTAGTTAGTTAAGGGCGTCTTTACCATGTTAAGTATGAGCAGGAGCTCTATCCCCTAGCTTGGTTCCCCCTAGGCTTGGGAACCCGATGCAGCATGTAGCTTAGTACTGGGCTATATATTGCAACATAAGAGGGAACAATGCCCTGATGTTAAGACTGTTTGTTAGTAGTTTGGTTGGGGTGTCATTTGCTTTATATACCGACCTCCCCAACGGCTCAGTACGAATATTTGCAGAGTTAGAATAGCTGTTTATATAGAGGTTTGTCATTGCAGAGCGCTATGTCACAATAGGAGAGTTAGTGGTTACTAGATAGCATCCTTGAGACCCACTACAGGA